TGCCTATTTCATGCTTTCCTGTGTTTGTATGTGTAACCGACACAGACGCAAGAGTTATTTTTTTCTTCTATGCACTGGTTACCGCTAAGCCATAATTCGTGGTTCATTATTCTTTATGGGCCTTATGTCAAAAATGGATACAATAGAAGCCTACTTGACGGATGGAAAGCTGCAATAATATATCATCACCTCTATCGTTCACTCGGTGGCCGTTTGCAGACATCGGAAGCATTCATGCGAAGGTTGAGGTTACGAAAAGGCACAATCTCTCTCCGTGTTCCCTTGGTTCCTGACACACTGGCTGCTTGAGTTAATTCTGCCTTTCTTTGGACGTGTGAAAACCATTCGTATTAGCGTTACAATTTGAGGGGAACTGAAAGGTTAAAATAGGCCCTGGCCAACTAATATCGATTCCGATTAGTTTAAGGAGATGCAGACGAGAAGAAAAACAAGTAGAAGAAGGAAAAGAGGTCGAGGTAGAAGAATAAAATATAGAAGAAAAGAAGAAGGAGAACTTCAGAAATTCATGAAAAGGAGAGAAAGAAGGACTAAGAGAAGGAAAAAGAGGAGTAAGAGAATATTTGGGAGAAAGTGAAGGGGATGGAAAATAAGGAGGAGCCAAAGAGGCAAAAGGAGACAGAAGAGGAAGGGAAGGGATGGGAGAGTGAATAGTAGGTGAATAACAAGTAGCCGTAGAAAAACATAGGATGGAGGAAAAGGGAGCTGGAGAGAGGGTAGGATGATGCGCCGAGGGTTTTGTAGGGCAGATAGACAGTCACAACTCCAAGGCAAATCTCCTTTGGTTTCCGACGAGAGCATTTCATGTACCCCTTCCATCTGCCTTAACAATCGAAATAAAAGACAAAAAACATCAATGTATCAAGGGATTCTTTGAAACCCAGCTTTTACTCATATATACTATTAGGAGTAGAAAAAGGAGAAAAAGAAGAAAACGAAGGAAGAGACTGTGGAGGAGAATGAGAAGCAGGATGAGCAGAATGAAGGAAATGGGCAGCAAGAAGAAGAATGAGTAGAATTTGTAGCAGGATGAGGAATGAAAGAGGAATTGATGGAGGAGAAAGAAGAGGAGGTGGAGTTAGAGGAATTAATTATAGACTATCCCAACAGGTTTTATTCATTCAAAACGCTCTAGTGCTGCCTACCGTTAAGCTGTTATACCTTGATTAATCTTTACTTTGAAGTCTGTTGATGAGGAAGAGAAGCCATAGGAAGAAATTAGGAAGAGAATGAAGGAGGAAGTGGCAGTGGTGGAATTAATTATAGCCTAGTCGCAGGTCTTCTTGCTTCACCATACCAAAGCACCCATTGTTGACGTGGTATTTTACCTTTATTGACCTTTACACTAGAGTCTGTGACATGTTTGACATCGGCTTTAGCCATAGTCTAGTCCAATCCTCATCCCACCGGTACCAAAATGTATATGTACGATAGGTTACGTAACCCAGATTAAAGAGGATGTAGATAAACGGTTGCAGACAGGCCATATTGTGGTTCGACGACTGAACATGAAAGATTTTCCAGCCATCCTCCTCCATCCAAGTTTATATGACGCCCTAGCAACCTAGTTATGTCGACTCGTTGACATGCCGTTATTGTTCAAGCCAGCTACAACGAGTCCATTCTATTATTTCCTACTTTACTCAGATTTCATCTGCCTCGACTGACTGATGCAATCTGAAACTCGGAAAGCAGTCATGCATGCAAACAGTGCTGACGGGGATTATCAAGTGAGACGGAAACAAGGCCTTTCTGGCGGTTATCCATCCTTCAAATGCGAGCATCTCGGCCGGTCAAGCAACCTGTGCTTAGACGAACAGGACCGAAAGCACAGTCTGTCTTGACCATTCCATCGGAGTTTATTCAGTCTTCAGGCACAACAAAGCAGTGTTTCGCACAAATGTATGCAAGACAGAGGTTGGAAAGCCGGCTGGCCGAGCTAAGTCTAGGTATTAGAGATGACATGATGGAGGCCAATCTCCATACCTATCTTGAGATCTCTGCCCCTCTCTATTCGGACGCCTAAATGCCCATTCCTTGCCGTCTTGGCATCGGTTGGCCGGTCCTAATGTCGCGCCTGTCTTAGTCAACAATTTTGAGCCTATGGGAAACTTTGCCTATAAGCAAAACATAATTGTGAGTTTGGATTTCATGCATGTCCGGGTATTATCAACAGTCTTGGCTACAATAGTTGGCATTTTACACTAATTTTTGGAGTTCAGTGAGGTTCGCTGATGCCTGGGTGGGCCCAGAGAGGCTGGGATAGGCATGGCCGGAATGGCAGAATAACAATAATCGTGACGATAATTTAACACCTGTCATCTGAGAGCAGCTTCACTTGTAGCATCTCTGGAGTGGACGAATTCCTCTCGAGTTTTTCTTCCGAGACAGTGCGGTTGAATAGTCAAAGCTAAAGCAAACATCTTTCTCATTCCAAAGTCGCCTTTTCCCAACCATCCATCAGAGTTTTGACTGATACGTTACTTCGCTCCTTCATCCCAACTCCTTAGCCGCTGTGGCTTTGATCCCAGTCTGACTATATTCTCATGTCTCAGGTGCTTTAGTCCCACAACAGAACGAGGTGGATCTGCTAATCGGTGTCAACTCCCCAGTTTCCCTTCGTCTCCGGCTTTAATACCAACCTGAAATTTATTAATCTTACTGAATCGAGACGAGTGAGGAAAGCAAACGCCACTTGGATATCCACTTCGATCATACGAAGGAAGATGATCTTGAATCTGAACCCGAATGAGGCCGAGATTTTGGTCGGCCTTGGCCAAATGTAGGATGTGACTCAGCTTTTACCAGGGAATAAACGTTTTAGGCCAACATCCTTTTGGAGATCAAGTCCAAATCGCCAAAACACGACTTGTTCCACTAACATTTGATCCTCCGGCATGGCTTAACGTAGTGCTTACTATTCGCGTGATTATCACTTCAGCCGGTCAATGTTCAAGTGGGCTTAGGCAGTCTCCTGTGTCTGAGCCCATCTACTACCATACACATGCACACAGTCATGCATTTACGGAAAGATAAAAGGACTATTGAGATAAGTTACTCCTTCTCGGCCACCATTCCTTGTTACACCTCTGCCTCTACTTCCCCTCCTCCCCGCCCCCACCCATCCACACATATGCATACATACACACGTACATACACATACGCATACGCATACACAACACCTTACACCTGTGAAACCAAGTCCCAAGTCCATACACACCCTCTTGGCTTGCATGAGCCCGAGTCGCTAGACAGTTGATTTCGTCGGGCTAATTCGTAAACAGATGCTGACGAGGGGAGATGCTGAGGCCGAAGGAAAAGCAACGGTATCTTAGGCTGAGACTTATTGTCTGGGGTGTGTGGTTTCACAAGCCTGGAAAGCTGGCTTTTCGTTGTGAATGTGAAGCTAGGGTAGTATAAATTGTGGCAGATAGGGACAGCAGGGATGGTAAAAAAGACAATAAACTTTAAATTGAATATTATTATTTCTATCCTTTGTTTTCCTCAGTTGGACCCTTAGTGACCGCGGCTTTTTTGGCGAATCTCTTTGCAATTAGTGTCCGTGTGTTTGTGTGCAGAAAGGCTTCCACACCGCTTCTCAATCCGTGAAATTTTGCTTTTGGATGGAGTGAATAAGGGGTGAAGGGTTCAGACGATGAGTCAACCGATTTGGACCCCTGTTTCAAGTGGTGTGGCCAGAGTGTGCGAACCTGGCCTGATCCGAACGCACAACCTCGGAACGAGAAGCACAAGTTGAGGCAAAGGTTTCTGGGTCTACTCGAGAGATTGTACAGGACACACTTTGGAACAAATGAGTTATAGGCTGTCTCCCATATGCCCGAATAAATGGGCTGCATTTTTGCTCTAAATGAATTTGAAATGAATTGCTAGCGAAACGGAATTGCACAATGCTCGCTCCCAAGGCTTCCATTGCGGCCTTTGGGAGAGGCCTATGATCCACACGACATATGGCCCCTTCAGGTCACGTGCAATCAGCTTGCAAGTGTGAAGTTGAAGGGTTGAGAATGGCTATGCCTATTGCATCAATTTAGTGGGATTGCAAATGAACACATGCCATGCTCAAAGGGAGCTCTTTCAAGTATTCTGCAGATTCGTGTTTGGGGATGGTGTAGCCTTACCCACCAAAACGCGGTACACTAAAGGTCTTTCGAATGGGGATCGCAAATTAGCTGTGAGCCTTAAAAGTCGGAGTGACCTGGATGAGGTGATATGAAAATCTTGATATGAAAGTTCATAAATGTCAAATACGAGCATTGTAAATCTAATTATCAAGTGTTTTAGGGCACTTTCCGCAATAATGTCTGTTTCCATTAGGCCCACGCAAGCAGAATGGATATGATTTGGCATAATGAGTTTATACGGGTGTGTAGAGAAATAACGGACTTATGCAAAGACCTACGAGAATGACTTCCCTGTCGAATACTACAGCTCACCTTCGGGCAGACCAGACATCTGCACCATATTTGAAGTTGGCAAAATTGGCGAGTATGAAATACAAGACGATAGATAAATATGAAGGGCAAGACGGTGT